CTTACTCCTCTTTTCAAATTTGTAATAGGCAGCTTCCCAAGAAGCCAAAGGAGTGAGCTGACGGAGAGCAGTTAAACCAGGTGCTCTGAGAGTCTAAGCTTCCTGCTTATGCAGTTTACTTATCCCTTGTGGACCTGTTCAGGCCTACTCAGTTCCATTTAATGATGAAATGCTGCTCTGTTCACCAAATATTATGTTTCAGCACATCAGTAGTTCATGGTGGGCAGTTCAGGTTGCATAATCATTTGGTGTCTTGTGGTTAGATATTTGTCTCTACCAGGGTTCTGTTGCAATTCAGGAGCTGCTTTTTTCTTTCTCCGCAAATCCCCCTGGTACATAGTTGTATATTTCAGTTGTGGGTCCTTCCAGTTGTGGCATGTGGGACGCCACCTCAGCATTGCCTGATGAGCAGTGCCATGTCCACGCCCAGGATCTGCAACAGCAAAATCCTGGGCCTCTGAAATGGAGAGCACGAACTTAACCACTCGGCCAGGACCTGTCCCCAGGAGCTTCCTTTAATTGGAGTATTATTTGCAGAGTAGGACATGATTTTTCTAAAAATTATAGGACTGTGTAGTAATTATCTTCCAGGGACTTTGTAGAGACTTAATCGCATCTCTATTGCAAGCACTTCAAATACTGGGTCTGCTGTGTCATAAAAACCCATGCGGCTGAGGAATCCGTATTGAGGCCTCCTTGAAAACTAACAGCCTTATGGGTTACCCCCCAAAAATGGCTCAGAGTAGTGTATGTAGCATACTTCTAAATTCCAGAGGCCCACCAAGCTTTGTACTTCTTTGTAGTGGGCTGTTCAAGGCACAGCATCTTGTCCTCCACTTTAGAGGAATCTCCTAATATGCATGAAACTACTAGACCCCCTAGAAACTTCATTTTTGTGACACATCCCTGAACTTTTGCAAGACTTATCTCCCTTTTACCCTACATATGCCTTACTCAGGCACTACTTCTACTTGTGACTTCTCACCAAATCCAATTAGGTTAACATCACCAATGTAATGGACCAGCATGACATTCTGTGAAATAGTAGATGATCAAGTACTCTCTGAACTCATTATAATAGAGAGCAGCAGACTTCATATACCCCTGGACCAAAGTATTCTATTTCTCGTGTCATGTGAATGTAAATGGCAACCACCAGAGACTGTGTCAGTCAGTAGTCAACTATGCTCACTGCAGAAAATGTTCTCTTGAAAGGAGTTCTGAACAGTGCACCTCCCTGGCCCCTATAGAGTTATGCCACAGGAGAGTCTGTGATCCCTTTGGACCTTCTGAGATGGACTCAAGCTAACGCTCCATCTCTAACTTGACCTTCATAAGCCCACATTCTGACTGGTGGCTTACAGTGGAGTTTCAGAATTATAGGGTCCACTGAGAGCCATTATTTAATAACCCCCAGAATATCTATATATTTCCCATTCCTCAGTGAATGGTCTCCCTGGTAAATATCTCTTCTAAAATACCTTGGGGAAAATTTACAGTACAACAGTCTCCCTTATTCATGAAGGATACATTCCAGGACCCCCAGTGGATGCCTAAAATCACAGATAGTACTGAACTCTATAAATACTATGTTTTTTTCTATACATACATACCTGTGATAGTTTAACTTATAAATTAAGAGATCAATAATAAAACAGTTATCAAATATACTGTAATAAAAGTTGTAGACTTCAGCAACCCCAGCATACAATTTTTTTTCTTTCCTTGTTAAGTCAAGAACTTGCACCTTTTCACTTATAGGAAGCACTTTATGGCTTCTCTTTGGCATATCCGAATTGCCAGCATCACTACTTCTGCATTTTGGGGCCGTTATTAAGTAAAATAAGGGTTATTTGAACATAAGCATTGCAACAATACAACAGTTGATCTGATAACTGAGATGGTTACTAAGTGACTAAATGGATGGGTAGTGTATAAAGCATAGATGTGCTCGACAAAGGGAGCAAGATTTCAGCATGCTCCTCAGAACAGCACACAATTTAAAGCGTACAAGTTGTTTACTTCTGAACTTTTCCATTTAATATTTTCAGACCGTGCTTGACGGCAGGTAACTGAAACCACAGAAAGCGAAACTATGGATAAAGGGGGACTACTGTAGACATCTGTGGCCATGTGACAGGGTCCTTCCTTGAAGGGATCCAGCCTCTTCCCTCTGAGGCAGAGATAATAGGTCCATGAAGTGGCTCAAGTCTGGGAACTGGGAACAGATTGTGAATTCAATTATGATGACTTACGTTCATTTCTGCCCAGCAGAATTACTGTCTAATTTTGGGGGATCTTGCAGTCAGCCACCATGATAGATCTCTTTGGATCAAAACACTTTGATTAGTACTCTGCCCTGTGGTTAATTGTGGTGATTGCTTCAACCTTGTCTCTGAGGGCTCAGTCCTGCCACCTGGCCTTTACCACTCCAGGATTCCATTATTCCCATGAGATCAAGGAACCCAGTTCCATTGCCGTACCATCTGTTCAGTTATTTCTGGTCTAATGAAGAAAACCACCGCAGAACTCTTGTGAATGATAGTGTCCCCTTACCAATGCATTTCTTTTTTTTGGTGAGGAAGATTGGCCCTGAGCTAACTTCTATTGCGAATCTTCCTCTTTTTGCTTGAGGAAGATTGTCACTGGGTTAATATCTGTGCCAGTCTTCCTCTGTTTTACGTGAGATGCTGCCACAGCATGGCTTGACGAGCAGTGCTAGGCCCACACCCGGGATCCGAATCTGTGAACCACGGGCCACCAAAGTGGAATGCATGAACTTAACCATTACGCCACTGGGCCAGCCGCACCAATGCATTTCTTAGTGTCTTCCTGGGCAAGATGAGAAGATTGCACATAATACATCCATTGGAATATTTCCATTTCTCATTTCCTTTGGACTCTTTCTTCTACTGGAAAGTTCTTGTGTTAAAACATCATTAAAAGAGGCCACTGTGTAGTCTAAGCATTTACTCACCCAACTATTAATGCCATTCACAAGTTCCCATTAAATTCTGAATCTCAGGTGATTGCCTTCATCTCAATTAAATCAACCCAAACATGCCTTATTGTTCACCTGCATTGGTCTAAACACTTTGAATCTCACTTCCCCAAGAATGTTGAGATCTTAACTCCCATTTTAGTCCTGGAGGCAATGAAAGGTGGTAGAGTTGAGTTCTGAGGAAAATTGCCCTCAATTCGTGAGTCATTGGAAGGTTTTTAAGTAGAAGAGTGGTTTTTCCTTAGAAGGGATACTATGAAAGAAAAGGGGTTGCCTCTGTCAACAAGACAGGCAGACAGATGTTTAAAGTTCTCGGCCTCTATATCTGGCAGAATATCCACATCCCTTATCTCAGGGTCCCACTTCTTCCCCTTCCTTAATGTAAGAGACCTGGAAGGCTTAAACTTTTAATTGGCATTATATCTTTGCAGACCTTACATCAGACTCTTGGCTTTGTCCTCTGCCATATATATCTATATATATGTATATGCCAGATATATGTGTGGCAGATACATGTGGCAATAAGAGATGAGGAACTCCTTCAAAACTGCCAATGAGGACTTCTGGTTACCCATGCATGTTTTTAATTGTATATTCATAAATTTAATCTTTTTCCCTTTGTTCTCTATCTGGGAACATCAGAAGAATCTAGGTGGTGATTGCAATTTTTATAACTGGTGTTTCTGTAGCAATTAAGTGTCACAGCCATTTGATCTCACACCACCATGCCCTCTATCTGTATTTCATCCTATGCTCCCGTCGATGATAATTTGAGTAATCTAGATGCTACTACATGCCATACATTTCCCGTGTCCTCTATTATCATTAGGTTTCTTGAATATTCCTTGAACAACCCAGTCCCAGAATACTATTTTGAGGGGCTATTTCTGCTACAGTTACTATGTCTGAGTCAGGAAACAGATGGCATACTCAAATTAGAGTAATTCAAGAAGGATCTATGAGAGGCAATTTACAAAGCTATGGTCAGGGTACGGGGGAACTGCAAGGGATGGTACAGTACCCTAGAGCTGGTAACAGTAGAAGTGTTACCATCCATAGGCTTGAAAGAAGGAGTGGAAGGAAAGGTTGGCAGAATCCAGAAGGAAAAAGTCGCAAGAGAGTCAGTCACCTTGAGAGAAGAAGCTGGCTTCTTTGGTGGAGAGGCACAGCTGTTCAGAGACTACTCCACAGAGAAAGAGTCAAGGGAATCTCTTCTGTCCCTCAGACCTCCTACCAGCACTCCCCAGTGGCAGGAAAGCCAGAGGGCAGAGGAGGCCTTTGATAAGGTCATAAAGATGAGCCTCCTGAGGGCAGAGAGCAAGATGTAAGAGAATGGATAGAGAGACCAATTATATGAAGAGTTTCAAGAACGTGTTTGGCATCTTAAATTTAAGGCATGACCTGGACAAGGAAAATATCATTTGATGAGAGTTTTATCAGACTAGAACTAAGGATCTGATCAGCTTGTGAAAGGAGAAAGCAAGAGCTTTGAGAAGGCCATTCTCCTATTCCATATACCTCTCCAGGGAAAGAGAGACTTTTCTTTCTGTTTTTGTTTTGGTGAGGAAGATTGTCCATGAGCTAACATCTGTTGCCAGTCTTCCTCTTTTTGCTTAAGATTGTCCCTGAGCGAACATCCATGTCAGTCTTCCTCTATTTTGTATGTGGGGTGCTGCCACAACATGGCTTGGTGAGTGGTGTGTAGGTTTGTGCCCAGAATCTGAACCCATGAACTTAACCACTACGCCACTGGACCAGCCCCCAGAAGAGAGACTTTTGTAAGCATTTTAACTATCTTATGAGTTCACATGAGTAATTCAGAAATATTTTAGTGCTTACTGTGTGCTGTTCCCCAAATAACAAATATCTGGGCTTGTTTTTATTCATCAACTTTATTAAATAATTTTATTAATTGATCTACATAGACATTATGTTTAACAATTCAGTATAAAAATAAATACTTTTATGGGATAAATAAGCAAGTTTTTTAGAGCCCCTAGGGCTTACAAAAAAGAATCTTAAAAGATCCATATTTATCATCCGAAGACTAACAGTTACAAAAGGTAGCAAACCATAAAATCAAAAAATAAATATAAATTTTAAATATTTAAATAAATAACCTGATGCATTTTAAATGGGAAGCACTTAATTATCAAGTCATTGTTGAGAAGATGCTTTGACAAAAGGTAATCCATTTGTTCAGAAATTCTACAATTGTTCCTGTCTCATCATCATATTCACATGTGAATCTTGTTTCAGACCCCTATAAAACAAAAATTTTAATTTTTTTTTTTAGTTCAGAGTAGTTTACCTTATATAATTCTCAATTGAAGTCTTACAGGCTTATGGCCTTTATTTTCAAGTGTATTAAACATATTAATTATTCACATTTTCTTGAAATGATCAAAATGTGCCAAAATTACATTTTCTACAGTATTTTACTATCATTCTCATTTGTTAATTCTGCAATCTCAGTGAACACAAGATTTTTTTCCTGAGTTGTGTACAAGTAAACATTTGAAATAAAAACAGTTCTGGACAAATACTTCATTGCATGCAAAATAAACTTGTTTGACTTCCTCTGTGTATATATCTGTATGTCTATCTGTAGGTTACATGTATACAGTGATATGCACATTAGACTTCCTTCTTTTCTAAACCTTGATTAAGGTTATTCTACTCATTATTCTACTTGAGTAAATCTCCTCATATTTTCTCCAAAGCAAGGTAGAACCAACCCTGAGTAAGTTAGAACAGGCTTTTGTTTGGGGGAAGTTTGTGTGAAGAACATTTTCATAAATACTCATCCCCCCTCCCTCAACTCACTATCAATGCAGGTGAGTTTCCCAACTTTTAAAAGTGTAAACGTTAGAAATGTTGTCCTGTGGACTGACTGTGTAGAAATTAACCTTCTCTGCAGAAAGGGACTATTTCAACTCAGCTTCTAGCTGACAAGCTAAGGAGAAAATATTTTGATATGCAAATAAAAGAGAGTGCTTTTTCAAATTTGAAGTATCCTATCCTGGAAAGACAAAATGAAACAAAGTATTTCCTTTAAATAAACTGTTGCAGTGTTATATATCCTCTAACATGTAATTATTTAAGTATTGTAATTTCTTGGGAGGAGTTTTAGACTTTTAAAAATGATTTTCACATAATTTTATCTCAATTTTGCATCAGGAGTTTTAGAGTGAGTTTTCTGATGTTAAAAATTTTAGAGCAAACCTCTTGACGTACAATGAGAAACTGAGTCAATCAATGTCTAAATGACATTAATCTCAATGTATTTTTTAAAAAATTAAATGGAAAGAAACAGTCTACTAATAAAGTGACTCTTACTTGGAAAGATCCAGAGTTACATACTTTTAGAAACTTGGTTCTACTACTGTAATTAAAATTGCTCTGTTTATTTAGGATAACTGTTAATTCCTGAATTTTGTCCTTTGGCAGATGGGATGAGAAAGGAGAGCTATGAACCTCTTTCATGTCATCTGAGTCCCTTGTACATTTCATGCTTCCTGTGCATTTAAAAATTCTTAAGGTCCTGAAAGTATTACCTCTAAATAAAGAGCTAATTATTTGTCCATCAGCTATTTTAATGGTTGCTGTTTAAGACAAATCTCTTAATCCTTCCACTAAATGATAGGGAAACCCCATTTAAAAAGCTTTTCACACAATCAGTATTAGTTATTCTGGTAAATGATCTGAAGGAATTTAAAAATACATAATAAAGTCTGTCTGCTTTCTGTGAAATTCAATTCAGTACCTTCTCCCAGTTTTGTGTTAATGTGAGGGGTGTCAGAGCGCAGGGGTGGAGGCTTGTCCCTATGTGGATGGTAGATGGAAGCTCTCTGGCTTGCGCTTCCTAGCTCCACAATGTATGATCTAACATGAAAATAATTCATGTTCACAGTGGACTTAAAATACACAAGTACTTCACACATACCAAAAATGTTATACCGCTTTAAAATGCCCTTCCATTTATTTCATTTCCAAGAGAGCAAATAAAGTAATGCCTTACCTTTAGTCCCAGAACTGTTACATTGATATTGCTCATTAATTCCTTGATATCTTTCGAGAGAAAGTTTTTTAGCATTTCCTCCAGAGGTTTGAGTTCTTCTTCTAGACACTGAAGATGTTTCAATTCTGTGGCCTTGAATAATAATAATTATCATCAGGTGAGTTTTCTCTGACTAAAAGTCAGAATCAGAAATTAATCTCCAACCTATTTTTATTGAGTGGCAGTATATAGTTTTTACCATTCTCCCTGTTCTCAGCATTACTGTAAAGGTGGACCAGTATAGTTTACAAATCACAGATACAGGCTGAGTTCTTTTCCAATCTGTATAGAAATCATTAGAACCAGAGTAGTCAGAATGTGGAAGTAGAGGTTGACATTTTATGATTCTAATATTTCATAATCTAAGGGTTAATCACAATGTTAGGGAAAGAAGGAGATCTTGGATGCCATCTGTCACAGTCCCAAAGTTTGATACATTAGGCAATTTTAACTGTATAGTAATGACTCTCAATTTAGAAAATCACATATAACTGTAAATTTTTTACTTTTCTGTAATAAGTACATTAAGGTGCATTTAAAAAAATTATTTGTCCCAACCAAATAAAAGTTTACAATATTTGAAGAATTTTTGGATGGGCCTCCCAAATTAGACATACACATACATACTCTCCTATATATAATGATAGTATTTCACACTTTTATGGTACATTATAATTTCAAAGTGTTTTTTCCTAAATAAGCCCACTTAAGTGTCACAGCCACATTTTGAGATAGGCAGTGCAGTATTATCATCTCCATTTTACAAATAAGGAAACTAAATCTCAGAATTTAAGTGTCTTTCCCAACGCCGCATGACTAAGTGGATCCAGAATTAGATTTCAATTCTTTTTTTTTCATAGCATTAACATAGCATCCTTTGAATTAAATGTTTTTATATCTTTCTAAAATCTTTTGCAAACAGAATGGTGATAAAATGAACAAATGAATGAAATTTATCACATTACTTTTGGTTTCAAATAGATTTTGAGTTGTCATTTAGAAACTGTGAGATTTCAAAGAATTCCACCACCCTCTAAATTATACACATGATCTCATGTTATCTTTCTAACAATCTTTAGAGGGAGAGGTAGGACTACACTGCTCATATCTTCTGACATTTCTATCTACTGCCCTTTCAACTTGCTACTACAAGGTCTGCAAGTTCAAGGCTTACATTTTTGGTATGAGCAATTTGGAGCTATTGCCTTCAGAAAAGAGTCTAATGTCATTATGTTGCAGGAGATAAGAGTTGTGTGTCTGATTAAGCTGGAGGAGCATCTCTAAGCTATTTTCATCTTTCAGAAGAGTAGTGTAAAGCATAATTTCCTTGAATTAATGAGAAGTGGATCAATGGGATTGCATCTATAATCCTTAAGTCCCATTTTTTTCTGGGCTTGGATTTACCCTGGGATAAGGTCTTTCTGGCACCACAGTTTTGCCCCATCTCTCCTGACCTGCACAAGTGCTAGGAAACTTTATACTCCTAGCATCGCTCTAGGAGCTTAGATGATTGATGCTTACCTAACTATCTGAATTTGAAAATGATGACGATTTTAATCTTGGAAAATAAGTCACATAGAATCGTAAGTCTCTGGGTCTACTGACATAAAAGATGTTTAAGTCAAGAATTTTATACTCCCCAGAGAGAATTTTATCTTTACTACTACTAGTAGTAGCTAATGCTTGTATGGTGTTTACCATATGCCAGACACTGTTCTGAGTTCTTTACATCTACTCATTAATCCTCACAAAACTATATGAAGTACGTACAATTAGAATTCGCGTAAGTAGGTGAGAAACTTAGTCACAGAGAGTAGGTAACTTGCCCAAGGTCACAAAAGCTAGGACACGGCTGACCTGGGATTTCAGTTCAGATAATCTGGACCCAGAGTCTGTGCTATTGATTACAGCTATGCTGCCTCTCAAAGATAGACCCTTCAGAATCTTTCCCAAACAATGAAGGATTTTTAAAAGTGGCCTCCTCTGAAATGAATTTTGATCATTAGCATGCTAAAATGATACAATCAAATATCTAGAGTTTTGCATGTTTAAATAAAACAGTAAGTCAACATAATCTTTTAAAACAGTCTAAGCAATAAAGTAAGAATGTTATTATTCTTTTCTTCCCAGTCCTTGCCCGCCAAAACACAAATACATATAAAAAAATATAGGCCAAGCCATTTACAGAAGGCCCATTATCAAACTTAGACTTTTTTTTAAAAGTATTGAAGTTACTTATTCTTTTCCTCAGATGAGGTGCTATTAATCCAATCAGTGTGCAAATTTGTATATTACTTTGAATTTCATTAAAATATAAAGTGAACATAGAAAATTGTACTTACCTTCTTGGGCATGTTAATTTTAAATGTGAGCATCTTGGAGAGTTTGGGATTCTTGTTATTCTGAGAAAGTATAACAGATTGTTATTAAAAAAGGAACTCCAGCTAGAAAAATTAAATGTAATAATTTTAGTAAGAAAGGAAATATACTCACATTAACTCCTTCCAAAAGCAACTTTAAATCCATCTGTAATTGCTTCAGTTGTTGCTGTGTTTCCCTCTTAGAGCTTGAAGTAGGTGCACTGTTTGCAAGGACTGCAAGAGTTAGTGCGATGCAAGCCAAGAGTTGCATCTTGTACATTGTGGCAGGAGTTGAGGTTACTCTGAGTAGTGATTAGAGAGGCTGATATGAAGCTCTTGAACAAGAGAAGCAATTTATACTGTTAATTCTGGAAAAATATTATGGGGGTGTCAAAATGTTTTACATATTACACATATTTTCAAAGATTCTACCTGTGTGGCAAAAAGCATTACCTTTATTTTTCCTCTTCTGATGACTCTTTGGAATTTCTTTAAACCCCCATAAACTGACTGAATGGATGTAGGTGAAATCCCTCTTGGTTACATTAGCCCACACTTAGGTGGCAGTTCTAATTCATACAACTAACGCCTTCTGTATGAAACAGTTTTTCCTCCCTCTTTCTTTAAGGGGGTGGGGATACAAAAGTGCCTCATGAAAATTTTCTCTTTGTCATAAAACTGCTGAACATGTGGAGCACCATGTTGTGGTGGACAAGAGCAAGAATAAATAGTTGAAAAGAATAAATGTTTAGATTTGTTGATTGAACAGGAAGAATATTGGTTTCCTGTTTCAGGATGGTTTTAACTTTTATCTACACAATGACTGAGCTAATGCATATAACATGACAGATTACTTCTTACACAATCAGCTGGAGAAATATTAAGATTAGAATACATAAAATGCTCATTGAACTTGAGGTACTGTTTTATGCTGTTTTAATTTTAACATGTTTCTTGTATTTAAATATCTTACTGTCTGTTGTCCTTTTTTTTTTTTTTTAAGGGTATGATTGTTTAACAAACAAACACTCAGAAAAGGATTTGTACCCAAGGGCACTCTTGCTAGTTTTATAATAGACTTTATATGGGCTTTATGTAAACCAATCCATAAGTTTCTAGTTTTCATCTCTTTAGTAAATTTAGATTTATCCTCTAAAGCACCTGGGACACTGTGAGTGTAACAATAGAGGTTATAAAGTAAGATCAGATGAGTATTTTTCTAGTAGGTAGACTAGGTAGGATATTTAGGATGTATGTTAATTTGTCCTCAGTATAATGCACAAACTGCCTGGATGATGGTATAACTATATACTTCTAATTTAACCTGGAGAGAATTGAGGAAATCCTTTATCAATGAGATTGCTTGTAACTCCTCCATTTTTACTACCTTATTCATTTCTTATCTAGTCTCTAAACAGATATTTATCTAGCACCTATGATGCCCTCAGGTATGTAGAAAGAGAGAAAAAAGAACAATGTGCAGGCACACAGTCTAATTTAAGCCTAACAAGAAACCTGTTAAATGATGGTTCCCATTTTGCAGTTTAGAAAACTGAAGCTCAGAGAAGTAGTTTGTTTTAGGTCATTCAGCCCTTACTGACAGTAAGGAACAGAACAAGGATTTGAAACCAGAATATTCTAACATCAAAGTCCACTCTCTTACCATCTGTATTCTTTCTCAAAGAACTTGATGTGTAACAGGGAAAACGTGCACATAGACAATTGTAATCCTAGGTAAAAGACAATTGCTGCCTCAAGAGAAGTGGATATAAAGAATTTTGAAGAAGAAATATGACTTTAAACTGGATTTCGAAAACATGGTTAAACTGTAGTTACATAAATTTAGGACTAGAGGGAGGGTGGGTAGGCAGGAAGGTTTAAGCATTCTAAAGAACACTTAATTGTACTTGCAAAGAACAGAGAAAAATGGTTCAAAACTGTTTATGTGCAAGGCCTTATTTTGAAGATTATAAAACATCTTTGTAAAATTAAAAAATAAGCTCTATATCTCCTCAGATGAAAAAAAATGAAGAAAAAGTCAGATTAAAGAAAAATGATCTTTTCTTTTAGAAAAGATGAGAGAGATTACAGACAAAAGATTATAATGTTTCTATTACTAAAAAATGCAGAATGTCTCTCTGTACCTTTCAGATCAAAACCACAAATTTAGCATTAGTTCTAAGGGAAAGGCTACTTAGTGGTCTGTGTGTCAACTTTATTATACTTGTTTCGCTTCTCTAAAGACTCAGTGTCTCATCCCAGCATCATCAGCTCAGGCCTTTACCCTTCCAGAATGGAAAAATTCAGGCCCACGCATTTTCCTGTGTGGGGGCTTTTCCAATGAGGCTTTTGATGTTCTCATAGTCTTGGTATTTATATTTCTCTGGCTATTTCCATTAGAGAATGGGTCGATATATGGCTACAATTCTGGGGTCTGTAGAAAATTGAATTCCTAGGCCCCTTGCTTATCCCTATTATTGCATAACAGGCACCATTGCAGAAGTTGGCCTTATAATTTCTTTCTTGAAATGCTTGAGGAGAAAGCTACCATATGCTGTGGTGTACTTTCACTTTTTAACATGTCTGACACATCAGCTGGCTTTTCTGGCTGTAGTGGTGATAAAGTCAGTAATAGACTGCTAACTACCACATGTGTCACACCCCTACTTCCCCTTTGAAAATAAAATTTTACTATTCAATAAGAAGCTATTTTAGTGGCTTAGCATTGTTTGTGACTCAGCTTCTTAGACTTGAGGGTAGCCTAAGTCCTTTAAAAAGGGAAGCCCCAGTCTCTGAAGCTGCCTACCAAAGAGATTGGTCTGTCAGTTGCATCCATTGTCGATCCATCAAAGCTGACTTTCCAGGACTCTGCCTCTTGCAAAAATTTCTTCTTTCTGACCCTCTTTCCCAGCTTTGTAAAATTTTAATTTGTTCTGGAGCTTGATGCCTATATTTATGCATCTCTTTTTAGTTTCTCTAAAGGCCTCTTGGCTTTTCAAGATAATTCTCTCCCTTTGAAATTAGGACATAGTGCTGGATAATTTCCATACCACCTAGAGAGAATTCAGCTAGGAGCTGTGTTTCCTGTGAAAATCTGAATTTCCTCAGACGTATACTGGTGCCCAGACTGTCTTCATCACACCTGTAGTCTCCATAGTGTGATACCACTTCAATCTGTCTGTGATCAGTTAAGTCTCCTTCATAGGTGCTCACCTTCCATGTGGTAAATTTTAAAGATGTTCATAACCTTTTGGCGTGGAAGAATTATTTCCTTGGTACTTTTAATTTTGCAAAGCGTTTTCAAATTCATCATCTCATTGAGTCACATTTTACTGATAAGAATTTTGACGTTTGTAGAGGTTAAGTGACTTGCCCAAGATCAAAAACCCAAGCCTTCCTGGCCCATAGTGATCTCATGTGTTTCCAGTGTAAAAGAGTGATGCCAAATTCTAGGACCATTAGGCTACACAAAGAAGGCTGAATTAGGTTGTTCCTACTGTTCCACCTCGCTTCACTTTATCAGTGGTAGCTGATGAGTCAGGCGAGGCAGCATCCACCTTCCCCTAACCAACACATTGTCTGTACGTATTTCATGAAGAACTTTATTTTCTTCATACATTAGGAATTAAGCCTTTCAACTTACAGATAAATATTAGCTTTATCCTCTGCCAAGATAAATGCCTTCATTAAAATCTTGTGAAAATAAAATTATTTACATTTATTTAGGCTTATCTTCATCTATTTGCTTTTCCTGCCTACCTTTGTTTCTAAGCTCTCTGTTAACCATTTGTTCTTTCCTCTTCTATGATAGCTTTCGATGTGTCATTGACAGAGTCCATTGTTTTATCATTCCTAATGTTAAAAGAAAAAGTACAGCATATTAAACATTTTTTAGTGTATTTGAGCAAAAATTGATTTGAATTGGGCAGCTTCCAATCTAGCAGACAGAAAGGAGCTCTGAGGAGCTGTACAAAGTGAAATGCTTTTATAGCAGGAAGGGAGCAGGAACAAGGAAGTTATACTAAGCAAAAAACCAGGGATGACAGGGCTCTATCAGGCAGATTACCTAACCAGTGCTGTTCAGGCAACTCCTGATTGACTGTTTTGAGATTCCATTTCTGGGAGAGCTGAAACTGTAATGAAGTCTTGGTTTGGTGACATGGGGATTAGCATAAGCAGCTCTATTTGGGACATGTTGTCTTGTTTTTAACAATATTTGTAAAAGTTATAGCCTGATTTTTTTGTTTAAAAATTATAACATTATCTAGTTACAAAATAATACATATCCATTATAGAAAATACAAAGAAGCTAAAAAATTTAAAAAACGAAAATCAACTGTATTCTTACCAAGCAGAGATAACTATTGTTGCCACATATTGGTATATGTCCATCTAGTCTTTTTTCTGTGATACAATTTTACATGCTTTTTTCTCTTAACAATATGTTATAAATATCTCATATATTAAGTATTCTTCCAGAACATTATTTTTAATAGTTGCACGTAAAATTCTGTTGTGTGACTGTATTCTATTACTGGAATTTACTTTAATACCAATCATTCACAATTATGAATACTACTGTAATTCACTAAAATCTTTTGAACATAAGTATTTGTGCAAATTTCTGATCACCCTATTAGGATGAAATCCTAGAAGTGAAATTACTGGGTCAAAGAGAATGAACATTTTAAGGCTTTCAATGCTTATTCAGAAAGTTTGTAACAACAACACTCCTTATCGGGGTATGAGCCTATTTTTCTGTACCATCTACATGGTTTTCATATTATCAAATAGGGAAGGGGGCAAGAGAGAGAAAGGAGAGGAAATGATGAAATGTATATTAATTGGTGGTTACACTAATGCTCAGGTCCATATTTGGAATTGAGAGTCAGTCAGACCTGGGCGCAAGTCCTATTTATCACTTACTAGCTGTGTGACCTTGAACAAATTACTTATCCTCCCTGAGCCTGTTTGTTTATTTCTAAAATGACAATATGGACCTGACTGGTCTCTTATGAATGACAAATAAGATAGCATAAATGAAAGGATACAACATTAATCTGTTAACTTTGAATGAACGAGTAATCCCATGACTTGTTTTTGATATGCCACACTCTCCCCCTTTTCTGCCAAGATATTTTTTTCAATGATGACATTTGCTTTACATAATTCCTTGATATCATCCAGGTTTTACCAGTCTGCCTAATCCGAGGGTTGAGAAAGAGACAGGTGGGAAATTTTACCATGCCAGCATTGCCCAGATGAAACTCAGTTAAAATCTAATTTAATTAACCATATAATTTTGAATCAT